GCAAGTGAGCGGCAGAGCTGGATTAAGACCCTGGACACCTGTTGGCTAGCCCAGTTCTCCACCTCACCCTGTCCTGTGTCATGTAGGCCAGCAGACTGCGCCATTCTGACCAGAGGAAACATTTCTTTCTCAACCTGGGGCTTGGAGTTCTTCCCAGAGTGATAAATTTTGGCGAGAAAGAGTGCCACATTCTTAGGGCTGGCTCGCCGGTGAGGCCTTGCATCACTCTTTCCACTGTAAACCCTGTGCTGGCTTCCAGAGATCAGCCACACGTGTGTTGCAGAAAGTGCTGAGCCTGACGTGGCCACCCAGGGGGAACCCTCATCCTGGAGACTTTGCGGCTGCCTCAAGGCCCCAAATGTGGGATTTCCCCCCCTCAATTCTTTGGGTTCTTGGGGGAACTGAATCCTGAGCCTGCCTCATTGGCTGACTGGGCTCCAGAGCCCAGCCATCACTTGTGAAAGACTTCCTTGGAATCACAGGGACTAGCCAGGAGGGTGTGAACTGTTGAGCAGGCAGGCTTCTGCAGGAGGTAAGATCCCATTGGGAGGGAGTGGAAGCTGGCAGTGGGTCAAAGTCACAAGTCCTGATAGAGGGGGATTAAAGTCATCACTTAGATAAACACTTTTGCTTCTGCACCACAGCCTTATGAAAGTCTCATTTACCCTTTCTTTGGTATGAAAACAAACTTTCTAAATATTATAAATAAGATGTGTGCAATGTGAAGGTTGGTGGGTGGTACTCTTACATTTCTCCTTTGTATCAGTTTCCAAAGGTTTCTCTTTAGTGGAGTTGATTGGTGTCAAATGTTTATGAATAGTAGAATGTTAACTATGAAAGCTAAAGACAGACGAGTCTGGTGGGTGTGGGGATACACTGCCCACATCCCTTTAAGGAAGGACGAATTGCCCTGGTTTCTGGGAGTGTTGACACCCTTCAGCTGTCAGCCCCTGCAGGAATTGCTTCACCTGCAAAGAGCTTCCTGGCCCAAGGTCACAGCGCTCTGGAAGCAGCCCATCCAATGGCTTATCAAGATCGAGGTATAAAGGCCTGCATCCCCTGGGGAAGCCTGAGGTTCCTCTGCTCCATTCCACATATTTTGATCCCCAAAGTCTTTAATAAGCATACTGAACACAATATGTCTGCTTCCCAGAGAACCCAGCCTGCTCCTATAGCACTGTGATAACTGTGCTTTTGTTTGTTTACTGCATTTCTTTTGTAGGGCAATGAATTCGGAGTTCTAGAAATGATGAGATAAAGTTAGGACTAGTCTTCTAGGACTACTGCAGGATCCTTATAGTTTCTATAGTTATGACTGTTGATATTTTGACGCAGTGTTATTGGTGAGAGTTTCATCTTGGTTGTGAATTGTGCTCTTTATCATTATTAAAAAAAAACCCCAAAAAGTCTCATTAGATGCTTTTGGCCTTGCTTTCAGTTCTGAAATTAGGACCAGTTAGAGTGACTTGCCCAAGGTCACAGGGAGGCTGAGTTGCTTCCACTTGCTGAGGTTTTTAAATGTACTTAAAAGAAGGAGAGAAGAAACACCAAAACAGGATAAAGAAATTGTAGAAGAAAAAATATAGATTGTCAGAAGAGTGTAATATACTATTCACAAAGCAATGATAGGATTTATAAAAATATGAATTCATTGTGCCCTGCAGGTGGTGTGGTCTGGTAATGGGACAGATTTAAAATTGTGTGAGGACTGCCCAGGCCGGTGTGGCTCAGTTGGTTGAGTGTTGTCCCATATACTGAAAGGTCACCAGTTCGATTCCTGGTCAGGGCATTAAGAAAAACAAACAAATAAACAAACAAATAAAATTGTGTGATGACTATGGTCTTTCAGTCTTGTCAGTCTATGTCTTTCCATTATAATTTCTTTTGGAGAGAGCATAAAAGTCTAAGGAGGATCTAGTGTCAGTTACAGAATCAAATATAGATCTGGGTCTTAATTCAGTGCTTTTGCCACTAGTCTTCTAGGACTACTGCAGGATTCATGTCCCCGCTCCTCACTGTTCAGCATTTTGTGTTTATAAATGAAAAGAATGAATAAGCATGATGTGCCTGAGTAGCTATTGTGCTAACTTACCCGGCTTCATAAATGCAGTCATTTTGATTTGAAAGGCACATGGGAATTTTTTTTTGAAATTTATACCATCTCCTGAGCAAAGAGGTTTTGTGTAGAACTCAAGGTCAGTGAATGTGTTTTGCATTGCATTTCCTGAAAAGCTGGTTGCAAATGCAAGGAGGGTTATAGGGCCCCTTGTTCTTCCAAGTTCCTGTGCATGGCCAGCTTTGTGGGCGTGCGACCTGTGGAGGCACCTGGGTTTAATGCTCTACTGTTACCATCTTGAAATTCTTAATTAAAAAATTTTTTCTCAGTTACAGTTGACATTCAATATTATATTGGTTTCAGGTGTATAGCATAGTGGTTAGACATTTATATAACTTACAAAATGATTCCCCCGATAAGTCTAGTATCCACCTGGCACTATACGTAATTATTGCAATATTATTGACTATATTACCTATGTTGTACTTTATATCCCTGGAAATTCTTAATTTTTGAACAAGGGGTCCTGCTAATTCTGTAGCTCATCCCACTGAGGCTCTGTGACTCAAAATTTGGTTTCAATGAACTAACTAAAGGGGAAGATTCTGGAAATAATACTGGTGTCTTGCGCTTGTGCAGTGACTTCACTTATGATCATTTTGAATTTACTTACTCTCTGAGGAGGCAATATATGCTTCATTTGGGCGTGCCACCTCCACCCAGTTAGGGACATGGCCATACCCACCCTCCTTTCAATGCCAGCACCTCTCCACTGCACCCCAGAGCCTGACCTTTCCTGCTTTGTGGGCCAGGGTGTCTGTATTCTGCACTGCATGCAGCGCAGTCCATGGTTAACACCAGGTTCACTACATTCTGTGGGTCTTGCCAAGTATATAATGTTGTGTCTCCACCATGGCCATGTCCTACAGAAGTGTCACTGTCCTAAAGATCCCCGGTGCTCCCTTAGTCATTCTCCCAATTCATCTTTTTAATCACCTCCATAGTCTTGCCTTTTTCCAGGTCAGAGTTGGAATCATATAGTATAGGTTTTTCAGACTGGCCTCTTTTACTTATTTCCTGACTTTTCCATCTTCTAGAAATGCCACATCCCTGGCTCGTGGCCCCTTCCTCCATCGTCACAGCCCACAGCACAGCCTCTTTCATCTCTGACTCTGACCCTCCTGCCTCCCTCTTATGAGGACACTTTGAGAGCACCGGACCCACCAGGGAATCTAGGATGGTCCCCATCTCAAGTTTCTTGACTTAATCCCACCTGTGAAGTCCCTTTTACCCTATGTAAGGTGACATAGCCACAGGTACTGGAGATTAGGATGTGGACATCTTTGGGGGTCAGTCTTCTGACCGGACATGCTGTGCACAGGCTTGCCTGTTCTAGAATATAAATGGAAGCATGCAGGCTCTCCTCTCTATAAGGCTTATTTCACTTGGTGTGAAGTTTTGCTAGTTACTCAGTTTGTTGCACTTAGTATTAGTTTATTTCTTTATAAGCTGGGTGGGATTCCAGGGTATGAATGGACTATAGTTTGTCAATCCATTCACCTGTTGCTGAATAAGAGATGTTTCCAGATTTTGACTATTATGAGAAGAGCTGCTTTGAACATTCTTTCCAAGACTTTGTGGACACGTCTTGATTTCTCTTGGTAAATACAAGCGGAATTGCTGAGTCATGGAGTAGGTGTGTTTTTAGTTTTCTAAGAAACTGCCAGACCTTTTCCAAAAGTGGTGTAGCATTTAACACTCCCACCAATAAGCTCTGAGTCTCGTTGCTCCACATCCTCAGCAATGCCAGGCTTTTACGTTTTAGCCCTTCAGGTGAAAGGTGTTGCGTGTTTTTTCTGTTTCTGGTAAAATATACATAACATGAAATTTAGTGTTTTAACCATTAAATGTGCACTTCTGCAGTGCTATGTACTCTTACCATGTCATACAAGTATCTCCACCGTCCATCTCCAGAACCTTCTCATCTTTCCAAACAGAAACTCTGTCCCTGTGAAACACTAATTCCCCACCCTCCACCCCCAGCCCCTGGCTCCCGCCATCTTATTTCTGTCTTTATGAATTTGACTCCTCCACGGATCTCATGAGTGTGATCACACAGTATTTGTCCTTATTTTACTGAACATAATGTCTTCACGGTTCATCCATGTTGTAGCAGGTGCCAGAAGCTCCTTTTTAAGGCTGAAAAATATTCATGTGTGGATGGACCATACTGAGTTGATCCACTCATCCACCCATGGCCATCTGGGCTGTGTCCACCTTTTGGCTATTGTGAATCACACTGCTGTGAACATGGATGTGCGAGTCCCTGCTTTCAATGCTTTTGTGTGTACATAACTAAAAGTGGGACTGCTGGGCCATGCGGTGTTTTGTTTGAAATGCCTTCTAATCATACTTTTTGATACACAAGGGATAATTTTTATGTAGTTGAATTTACAAATGTTTTATACAGAAAACGTTCTTCTTTACTCAAAGATCGGAATCACCCATTTGCAGATTTATTATTAAAAATTTAACTCTTTTTGATATGGTGTGAGTTGTTCCACGGTTCACGGGACTTCCCTGGAGTCTCTCTGGTAGTTGGGGGTGGTTCCTGGGTGACGGGCGAGTGGGGGTGAAATGAAGATCTCCCAGGCTCTGAGTCCTTCAAAGATCAAGGCCCTTACCATGGGCCATGCCAGACAAACACTCCCAATCCGCGGGGCACATGGCTCATGCTATGCAAATAGCTTTCCCCCTAAATTTTCTAACTACAAATCACAGAGCCCATCAAAGCTGAGGCTACTTGAGTGCTGCTGCCTGCAGCGGGTTCCAGCCGTATTGCCTCTTCCTGGGTGCAGGTGAGGGGAGTGGGGATAATGTGAGGCAGCCCCAACTTCCCAGCAGTAGCCTGAGAGAGCAGGAGGGGCCCAGACTGGAGACAAGGAGCAGTGAGGCTTTTTATTGTGGATTAATTTACTTTGTATTGACAATTCCACACAATATTAAAATACTGCGAGAAAGTGGGTATGACACACCTGGAATTTTTTTAAAAATCAGAAATAAAAACCACCAGATGTCCAAAGGCAGATGGGGTAGAACCTGCCAGAACCACAGATTGCTTCCGAAAACCAGGAACAAGTCATTACAATATTTGGCAATGCGTTCCATGGACAGAGGAGGAAGAGGGCGGAGCGTCCGACATATGGCTTGTTTTCAGGGGACCCCGTGGCAGGCTGGCTTTTTGTAAGTGCTCGTGAAGGGTGAATGATTTTTGGTGGCTTCATCTCAGATGGACACTGCCCCTGGTCACTCACGCTTGGGGTGAGAGTCTGAGGCACCAAGGGCCTTTTCCTGTTGGCCTAGAGCTTGGGCAGGGCTGGGCCTCTTCACCAGATGGATGAACTGCCTAGGGGCCCAGAGCTGTTCTGGACCAGTGGCAGGGACATCAAAGCCGGAAAGGCAGCACCTTCCACCCAGCCCAGTGGGTTTACATCCCTTGGGGCTGGAGGTGACAAACATCACTTCATTCTTGGCCTGGGAATCACCACTGGAGGATGGGGCAAGGGTGCGTGGTTAGCCCCTTTCTGGAGTGGGGAGGGGGATCCAGCAGAACAGGGGCTTGGCCAGGCCAGGCAGGTTGGCCCACTAGAAACACTGAAGCAGACTGCAGAAGACGGAGACTTGGCACCTCCACACCTGCCTTCTGTGTATGTGTCCTTAATCCCCCCCCCCCATGGTGGGAGGCCTGTGCGGCCACCACCAGCTCCCTAAGGCATGGAGCGCTTTCAGACCCCAAATGCCTTGAAAGCCATGTTTTCATGGCAGACACTTGTGCCAGGAGCACACAAGCAGCATAGGTTGTTGTGAGTGCACTGATGCTTTAGGTCTACACTGTGGACAGTGAGATTTACTCTAAATGGAAAAAAAGGAGGTGTTTTTTGTTATATTTTTTTTCTCAGCTAGAAAGAAAACCACAGTAGGATTTCTGCTGATCACCACTCCCTGGGGTTGGAGGTTGTGGGCACCTGGGATAGGCAGCTGAGCAATAGGGCCGGAAACCAACTGTCCTTACGGTTGCTGGCCTCAGTTTACCCAGACCACTCAGTCCCTGGGTCTTCTGACTCAAAAGCCTCCCCAAGCCCGGGCTGGAGTTTCCTTCAGGGCTGGGGGTCAGGTGGGGTGGGGAACGTGTTGGCAGGCTGAGCCCATAGCAGGCCATGGAGCCGATGAACTCGGGTTCAACCCCACCTCCCTCAGCCAGGGGTCCTCAGCTTTGCTTCCCACTGGCTTCTCCAGAGTCACTTGGGTCAAGGACATGTGGTGGGGCTGGGCTTAGAATGACTGTCGGGGCAGGGTGTGGAGAGAGAGGGGCGGTCTGAGCCCCTGGGGGGCTCCTGATGTTGAAGTCAGGACCTCCCGTTTCTGGGGCCCAGTGGCCAGACAGTGGGGGACCCAGGAAGAAGGATGGGCATGCAAGGATCTGATGCAGGCTCAAGGGATTAAGGCTTCCGTCACAGAGCAAAGGGGGTGCACTAGTAACCAGCCACCGGAAGGCTGGCGGGAAGGGCCGGTAGATGTGGTCTCCACAAGCCTCGCTCTGCCACCCGCTCTCTGCCCTCTCGGGGCTAATTTCCACTGTGCCCTAGAACAGGGTTTTGTTCCATCCTGCTGGGGACAGTGAAAGGCTCTAGGGCAGCACAGGCTTCTTGCCCAGTGAAAGGTGTGAAAGGCGGCTGCAGCATGGGTACCTTCATGGCTTTTCCTGACCAACTGCTGGTCTGGAGGTGCCGGGCTCCCCAAAGCCCCTGGTGCACCCAGACCAGCTGGGGAGAGCTGGGTGCTGGGGAGAAAGTCTGAGCCCACCAGCCTGTACCCTGTGGGAGCTGGATGGAGGGTCATCCACTGGAACCTTCTTAGCTCTGGCAAGATCTGAGCCTTGGCCCCAGCTGCGAGGTGAGGGCCTGGGCCTGGCAGCTGTCCAGGACCCTGCTGGCGTGGGCCTCAGACTCTGACGTCCATTGGGGCCACAGGGGCAGAGCTGGGCTCGTTTATTCCCACAGTTTGCCTCCAGCCCCGTGATGGGGCAGCAGAGGACCCCTGAGTTCATGGTTGTATGGGGTCCTGGCAGTGATGGGTGGCACTGCCAGGGGAGGAGGGGGGTACATTCGGTCCCATCCTCTTGCTCCTTTAACTGTCCACATCGTAACAGGAAAAAGTGATTTTAAAAAAGTCCCCTGCCCCCAACCCCCGACTCCATGACGTATCAAATTTCCAAGGCTGTTGGGAAGTGATGCCTCTTACTTTCTCCAACCAGAGTTCTGGGTCTAAGGGTCATGAAAGGAAGCAGGGAGCCTCGGAGGCCTTCCAGCTACTTCCAGACCATTTAACACCTTTTCATACCAGACTCAGGTGGCCCTGCCCAACAGGCTGCAGCTCTGTTTGAATAATGGCCATGGCGATAAGTGAAAATGGAGAAAACCAAAAAACCCTGAAGAACCTAATATGATTGCAACTTCTCATCGCCTGTATCAATGTCAGGTGCTTAAAACAAAATAAAATCCTGCTGGCCATTCCAGGGACCAGGGCAAGTTGTTGAAAATCCCTTTCTGTGATGGGTGGGGTCCCCAGGGAAGGGCGGGGTCACATGTGGCTGTACAGTGACACATGCCATACAAATACCATACAGCACTTGGCAACACAGGGTGCGTTTCTCAGGCAAAGCCCCCCCGCCTGGCCCCTAAAATCCACTTGTGCATTACACAGTACACCTTGGCCAAGTGTTCAGCCATCGAAATCTGACTTTAGCAGTGTAGAATAACAATTTTTTAAATGAAAAGGAGATTTTCTCCAAAAAGTTCATTATATAGCCTACCCCCCAAATTTTACTCTTTAAAAAAAAAAAGCACTGTAGCGTAAGTTTGTTTTCTTTTTTTACAAGTGGCCAATTGCGTGAGAACGGCCAGCTGGCCAGGTTGCCCAGGTAACCCAGGACAAGTGGCCAGCGCCCCTTCCATGCCCTTCACCCGACCAGCTTGGCTCTGGACCACAGCGCAAATGGCAAGTAAGAGTTTAAAAAATGGTGACCACATCGTTTGGGCATCTCAGGTCTTCCTAACTGGAAGTAGCTGTGCAGCCAACATCCATCTTTCGGCCAGGCCCTGAGGGCTATGCTGTTCAGTCTGAAAACCCATCATTACCCAGTGGGTACATTTTACTCCATCTGGGCAGTGGCAACGGTTGACATTTCTTTTGGCATTAAAAGTTTCAGGGACCCAAAATGCTTTGCTTTACGTACTGAATTATGCCCTGACAGAGAGAGAGAGAGAAAGAAGTGGAGAGAGAGAGGGAAAGAAAGAGAGAGAGAACACACACAGAAGAAAACCAAGCTATAGAATGACACAAGGCTTCTTGTCCTTGAAGGGGTTCTCGGAGGCAGGGACTCCGACCAGCAGGGGGTCGTTCCGGGCATGCTGCTCACAGTAACTCATGAGTTCCGATGAGGCTTTGGAGACCTGAGTGTGGGCACAAGGGTGAGAGAGAAAAGGTGAGAGGCTGATAAATAAAACCAGCATATTCACAACGGCCAGAAGGTGGATACTGCCCGAAAGTCCATCAACTAGTGATGGATAAACACTGTGTCCCGCCTTTCCATGGCTGGAATATTGCTCAGCCACGAAAAGGAGCGGAGCGCTGACAGTTGCTACAACAAGGATGAACCTTGAACATAGGATGCTCACTGAGAGAGAAGCCAGACACAAAAGGCCACACGCTGTGTGATTTTATTTATGTGAAATGTCCAGATCAGGCAAATCCACAGAGACAGAGAGTAGATTCGTGGTTGCCAGGGGCTGGGGAAGGGGATGGAGGGTAGCTACTGATGGGGTGAGGTTTCTTTCTGTGGTGATGAAATGATTTGGAATTGGATAGAGATGGTGATTGTACAACACTGAACATACAAATACCACTAATGATAAATTTTATGTTGTGTATTTTACCCCAATTTTTAAAAGATTAAAAAGGAAGGACTGAGCCACCTTCAGCAGGAGTTGCCCAGATTTTGAACAGAAAAGGTCAGAATGAGATGCAGCTTCCTTAGGAGTCAGCCTAAGACTCCATCCCACCCAAGAAAGGACTGAACAGTAAGACCCCTGCTTGGACGTCGGCACGACTGAGGGGCACGAGACAAGCCTGTCTTCAGTTCCTTTCTGTGCATTCTGAACCCACTGGGGTCCAGTGACCCAGCGAGGGCACTGACCCTTAGGACCACCTGCATCAGAGTCCCCAAGAGAGGAGGGCGGTGAAGGGAGGGTCCTGGGGAAAGCTGACATGGGGAAAACGTGGCATTTAGCATCTGAGGAGCTGAGGGTCACTACAAAGGGTGCCCCCTTGGCCACATGCCTTGTTCTTCCTGGTTGTGCATTTGGGGGTGCTGCAGGGGCCATTCCACTCTGCTTGCCCCAGCAGGGCTGGGTGGCTGGGTGGCTGAGTTGCAAGTATCCTCGCTGGGGGGAACAGGACATGCCTGTGGGCCTCTGGATCCCATTCCAGGGGCAGGAACTGTCTGCCCACGGGGCTCTCTTTCTTGGCCGCTCACTTTCTCCCCTGTGAGGCCAGAGGCCAATGAGAGCTGTGCAGGGGCTGCTGGGTGGGAAGATGAGGCCCGAGGTGGGGGAGACTAAACTTTGGAAAGCGCTGGCAATGTCTACGACACTGCACACCTGAACACAGAGGACGCCCCAACCCTGTCCTGTGCTGGGGGATGCTCCTGCCCTGAGACAGCGACAATTGCCACTGTTGTGAGCACGCTGGCTGCTGGCGGGACGGCTGCCTTTGATGAGCAGATGGAACTTGGTTTCTAGAGTCCTATTTGGAAAGTACCCCTCCCAGACGACAAAAATAGTCAACGGGCCCTAAAATAGCTGATGTTGTGGCTCCAGCTTGTGCCCCCCCACCCCATCCCTGGCGTTGACAGGAAGGCTCTGCCCACAGTGCCAGGACTACCTTCCTGCCGTACATCCAGATGGTGGGGCACCTCTCCTCTGCCAGGCCGTGGCTGGGTCGGCCTTTTAGGCAGGCTGATGCGCTGTGGTTCTGGTCACCATTTTGGGGGGATGCAAAACCTCAGGCAGGACTGAAGGGAGAGTGGGTTATGTCCTGATTCCCCTCCTCCTGACTTTCAAAGGGGCGGCCGGGGGCTGCTCCTGAACATCAAACGATGGGATGAATCACTGCTCCACCAGGGCTGGGAGCTGGCACCACTCACAAAGGAAAACCACTTCAACCGGGCCCTTCTCTTTCTTCAGCCTGAAGGAATGCTTTGAATGTGCAGAGTTCTGGAACATTCAGCCACCTCCTGGGAGGCACTCCCCCACCCACTGGGCAGCCCTCCCCCACCCCAACTGGCTGGTAGAGGCCCAGGGGCCCATCAAAACCATTTCCCTCTCTTCTACCACCTGGCTGTTAGGTGTGAGTCTGTCTGCGCCTGGCTGGGCTATCCCTTCCTATGAATTCCGTGACCAGCAGTGAACGGGGCATGACAGGTGCTCAGGAAAGCGAGTCTGAACAAATACGTGGGCTGATAGCTGATTTTGTGTTTCCACTTGGCTAGGCCACGGCACCCAGATATTTCATCTAACACCACTCTAGAGTCTCTATAAACATGCTTTATAGATAATATTAACATTTAAATCTGTTGGCTTTGAGTAGAGCAGATTTGTTTCTATAATGTGGGTGGGCTGCATCTAATCAGTTGAAGGCCTTAAGAGAAAAGACTGAGGTCCCTGCAAAGAAGAGAGAATTCTGCCTCCATACGGCCTTGGGACTCAAGCTGAAACATTGAATCTTTCCTGGGTCTTCAGCCTGTGGACTTCAGACTTGCCAGCCCCCACGATGGCATGAGCCAATTCCTTAAAATGCATCTCTCTTTCTATATATGTACACACATCCTGTTGGTTCTGTTTCTCTGCAGAACCCTAACCCAGTAGGTAGCTAGAGCAGGGATAATCTAGAAGCGCAAGCGCTGGGGCCTTCTAGATGGAGACTCCCTGGTGCTCACTGGGCTGTCTGCAAGCTGGGGCCTGGGACAGGAAACAGCTTCTTGGAGGCACCTCACTGTCCTTTGCAAAGTGGATGTGGGTTTGGTGAGAAGGTGCCTTTGAAAAGTGTCAGGCACCTTTCTTGTGTAAGCAGCCTACTGGTTTATACCCTTGGAAAGGAGGAAAAGTGTGTGCCCTGGATGTTGTCCTGATGTCCCCTCATGGACTTATATTCATATACATAAACTCAATGTGGCCATGCACACTCTGGAATATTACTCAGCCACGAAAAGGAGTGAAGCTCTGACACTCGCTACAACACGAATGAACCTTGAACAAGGCCACACAGTGTGTGATCCCATTTATGTGAAATGTCCAGAACAGGCAAATCCACAGAGATAGGAAGTGGGCTAGTGGCTGTCAGGAGCTGGGGAGGGGGATGAGGGCGACTGCTAAGGGGGATGGAGTTTCTTTTTGGGGTGATGGAACATTCTCCAACTAGACAGAGGGGGTGGTTGCACACTGTGAATGCACTCAATGCCACTGAATGCACTTCAAAATAAATGGTTAACTTGATATTATGCAAATTACTATTTTTAAAAAATATATATATTTATTGATTTCAGAGAGAGGAAAGGAGAGGGGGAGAGAAAGAGAAACATCAATGATGAGAGAGTCATGGATCAAGCCTGCAGTCGGGCATGTGCCCTGACCGGGAATCGAACCCCGATCGCCTGGATCCTAGGTCAACGCTCAACCGCTGAGCCACGCCCGGCCGGGCACAAATTACTATTTTTTAAAAATCTTTGTCTGCAGAGCTGATGTTGCATGCTGCACTATTTTATTTTGCTTTGAGTGTCCCTGATATCTGAGGGGTTAAGTGTCTGAACCGAAACTGCTTGTCCTTTTCCTTTTTTTAGCATAAAAAGCAAACGTGCTTATTTCAAAAAACTCACACCGTGCAGAGGTGAAGGAAGCAGGCAGCGAGCAGCTCCGTCTCTCCCTTCCCTGGGCCGGGTCCCTAACTCCCAAGCCTGTTGCAATGAGGGGGCTGAGGGGACAGGAGAGAAAGTGCCTGGCTCACGCTGGTCCTTCGGTGAAGCCCGAGGTGGCCTGCACGGGGCCTCCAGGGAAGGATCCCAGGGACTGGGGGCGAAGTCAGTGTTTAAGTCACTGTGGCACATGGGGGCATCACAACCCATGAAGTACCTTTATGTCAGCTGCCTATCTGCTGAAGAAACTGAGGCTTAGAGGCAGAGCGGCCTGGGGCAGCCCAGTGCGGGGCTCGGCTGCGGTGCCAGCCGGTCGCCCTGGCGCGACGGCCGCTGTGGGCCCTGGGTCTCTCCCGTCCCCTCTGCTGCCCTGCTCACCTTGATGCGCTGGATCCCGGCTTCGATGCGGAGCTGCTCCACCAGTTTCCTGGCCTGGGCGATGTTGTTAGTGGCTGACATTGTCTGCCATCGGCTCTGGGCCCGTAGTCCAGAGAGCTGTGGGGGGAGAGGACAGTGTGAGCTGGCTCTTGGGAGCCCTCTGGCCACCCGCCCCACCACCCTGCAGCCCGTTCTGGGGACTGGCCACGTTGTCCGTGTCCTCAGGTTGGAGATAGAGGCCTGGCCAAAGCCCTCTTTACCCACAGTTCCCTCCTGTGGCTAGTTGCTGGCGGTGACCATCGAGGGTTCCCAGGAGAGTTCATGAAACCAGTGCACTGGCGCCTGGCTGGCTGGATGAGGGACTTGGCAGGGGAAAATGACGTTTTCTCCGACCTCTGCCCCAGCCCTGGGGTCCCTGGAAGTGGGGCTGGGTCACCCCCTGGGGTGGGGCCATCCTGGGCACTGTAGGGTGTCAAGCAGCAGCCTTGGAATTATCCTCTTGATGACAGGAGTACCCCCAGTCATGATGACTGCATTTGTCCCCAGACATGGCTCAGTTTCCTGAGGGGCAGATCGTCCCTGGCTGAGACTGCTTGGCTGTCTGAGGCAGATCACCGGGGACACCACACACTGTCTATCACCCCTTCTCTGGAGGACCGGGGCAATTTCTGTCCTTCCTTCACTTGTTTGTTCAGTAAACTCTCAGAGAATGTCTTGCCACACCCCACACCTCTGAGAATGGAGCTAATGACTGTCATGAGTATGCGGGTGCCTGGTTCACACTTACGCCCGGCGCGCCCCAAGCCTGGCCTGGCTGCCTTTGGAACCAGCGGCCGGGGCCTGGCCTCCACACCTGGCTGCCCGGGCGGGCAGGAGCAAGGAGTGCTGGCTCTCCCTGCTCCGGAGTAAGTCTGAGGTGGCTAGATGGGACAGTCACAGGGAAGGGGCTTTAGGTCAGAAACTCTGGTACGGTGGTTGCCAGAGACTGAGGGAGTCCGCTTGGTTCTGCAGGGTTTCCAGAGCTTTCCAATGCTCTGAGGCTCACGTTCCTCTATTAGTGTCCTGCGGTGGCCATGACAACCACACACCGGGCAGCTGAAAACAACAGAAATTTATTCTCTCATATCTGGAGGCCGAGTCTGAGATCAAGGTAATGCAGGGCCGTGCTCTCTGAGGGCTCCAGGGGAGGGTCCTTTCTGCCTCTCCCAGCTCCTGGCGGTGGCCATCCTTGGTGTCCCTTGGCTGTGCCTGCATCACCCCAACCTCTGCCTCTGTTGTCACATAGCCTATGTGTCTGTGTTCATATTTTCATCTTCTTATAAGGACAGGTCATTGGGTTCAGTGTAACCTCATCTTAACTAATTACATCTGCAATGACTCTATTTCCAGATAAAGTCCTGTTCTCAAGTCCTGAGTGGATACAGATGTTGGGGGACCCTACAGTTTCCCTGAGTGTGGATGACGTGCTCAGAGTAACCCACTTCATGTGGGTGGATTCCAGATAAACCCTCCTCCTTCCCCTGGTAGACCTTTTGCTAATTCAGATCCAGGATGAGAAATCTCATGCTGTTTTTTCTGCATCAAATTCCACCTGTGGACCTATCTCCCCAGCACCCTTAGGAATCAGGTGTCACATGTCACAGTTTAGGGGACCAGAATGCTTCTCTGCTCCCTCACCAAAAAGAAGGTGAACCCTTTATTATGCCAACAATTCCTGCTTTGCTTTTATTTGGGATGTTTTTTGGTTCCTTCCAAAATATTTTTAGTAATTTTTAAAATTATTATTTTATTATTATTTTTAAAAAATCCTCATCCGAGGATATTTTTTCCATTGCTTTTCAGAGAGAGTGGAAGGGAAGAGAGAGAAACATTGATGTGAGAGACACATTGATTGGTTGCCTCCAGCATGCGCCCCAGGGATGGAGCCTGCAACTAAGGTTTGTGCCCTTGGCCGGAATCAAACCCAGGACCCTTCAGTACATGGGCTGACGCTCTAACCATTGAGCTAAAATAACTAGGGCTATTTTTAGTAACTTAAATTAAATTTTAAAATTTGAGATGCCTGTCAATTCACGTGCAGTTGTGGGAAATGATAGAGACCACGTGCACTTTGCCCAGTTTCCCCAAAGGCGGGTATCTGGTGAAACTGTAGTGAGATCACAACCAGGATGGTGACATTGATGCAGGAAAGACACAGGACATTTCTACCCCCAAGGTCCCTTTTATGGCCCTTAGATGGCCACATCCAGGTCTACCCAACCCATCTCCATCCCTGGCGACCACTGATAGGTTCTCTTTCTCCACACATTCGTCATTTGGAGAATGCTATATAAATGCAAGCATTCAGTATGAGGCTTTCCCCCCACTTGGTGTCATCTGGAGCTCCATCTGATTGCTGCCTGCATCAGTGGGTCATTCCTTTTCAAGGCTGAGTCTTGCTCCAGGACAGGGCTGTACACAGGTTAACCATTCACCCATGGAAGGACATCGGGCTGATTCCACATTGTGGCCATCACAAATTAAGCTGCCATCGACATTCATGTGAATGTAAAGTCTTTATTTCTCTGGAATAAATTGCTGAGGAGTGTGACTGCAGGCTTAATTTTTGAAGAAAATGCTAACTACTTTCTCGAGTGGCTGTACCATTTTACATCCCTACCAGTGATGTATGAGTGATGTTAATTTATTTTTGTAATTCAGTTATCCTAATTCTTTCCTATTCCTTAAGGAAGTGAAAATTCTTTTTCATCCAATCTTCCTTTAGTGAGCCCTAGTGGTGTGGTTCTGAATTGGGATGATGTCTGGGGACATCTGTGGTTGTCACATTGGTGGTGCTCCTGGTATTGAGGGGGTGAGGGCAGGAATGCTGCTCAACCCCCCATAGTGCCCAGGATGCCAGGGGGTGAAGTGGGGTAGAGGGTACAGAACCCAAGTTCAAGAGTCCTGGGAAGCCCTCGGCCCAGCCAGGCAGACTCCTAGTTGGGTGGCTTAGTAGCACTCTGTACCCCTGTCTGCTTGGCAGTCAGGATGGCCAGGTGGCTACGGAAAAGTAAAGGCTGATTTTCAAAAAATGTCTTATTCAGCAATCAAAAGGAATAGACTGTTGATAAACAAGCCTTGGATGGTGCTCCATGGAGTTCTGCTGAGTGAACAAAGCTGGTCCCCAGAGGTTACATGCTGTACGGTGCCATTTATGGGCTATTTTTGAGATTATAAGATTGTGAGGATGAAGGAATGATAGGTGGTTGCTGGGGGCTGGGGCTGGGGCCTAGGAGGAAAGGGTGACATGCAGGTCTCTGTGGTGCTGGAGATGAGGCTTATCTTGACTGGCAGTGGATCATGGGCCTGCCCAGATGATGAACTTGCCTAGAGCTGCAAGACCCCATAGAATCTGAATAGGGTCGGTGGGTTATACCATGTCCAATATCCTGGCTGTGATATATATATATATATATATATATATATATATATGAAATATGTTTTTATTGATTTCAGAGACAGGAAGGGAGAGGGAGAGAGGTATAGAAACATCAATGATGAGAGAGAGTCATTGATCGGCTGCCTCCTGCACGTCCCCTCCTGGGGACTGAGCCTGCAACCGGGGCACATGCCTGACAGGGAACCAAACCTGACCTCCTGGTTCATAGGTTGATACTCAACCACTGAGCCACGCTGGCCGGGCCTGGCTGTGATACTGACAAGAGACTTTGACAAAATATTACCATTGGAGGGGGGATGGAGGGAAGTCGAAGAGGGTATAGAGGGGATAAAAGGTGACAGAAGACTTGCCTTGGGGTGGCAATATAATACGCAGATGATGTATATAAAGTTGTACACCTGAAACCTATATAATTTTATTAAGCATGTCACCCCAATAAATTTAATAAAAAGGAAAAGCAACAACCATTGGGGAAAACAGAGCAAATGATACAGGAATTTCTCTTCATAATGTTACAACTGCATGTGAATCTGCAGTGATCTCCATCAAAGTTTCAATAAAAAAAAGAATCCTTCCACATGGCCTGCTCCCCGAGTCCTGCAGACATCCAGTCCCCGACTGGGTCAGAGGAGGCCCAAGTGTGTCTACCCTGGGCGCACAGAGCCCACGTGTGGGCTTCCAGAGCTCTGATTCAGCAGATAGCTTCAAAGCAGCCACAAAACATCCAACTCAGGGAAAACCGCCCTGGTTCGGCTCAAAAATACCTAAATTACTCAGCGCTAAATATAGATGTGTACAGAGAACAAACGAGGTGGCCCCAGGAGTGTTTTCTTTGGAATGCGGGAGTCCTGTTCAGCGTCCAGTGTGTCCACCAGAACCCAGGACCCCCGGCACCTCGCGCAGCCACCCAGCCGTGGTCTCCCTCCTGAGCACTGAGCCCGAGGCGGTGCTGGCTTCTACGCCGGGTATGTGCCCTGAGAGGCTCTCGCCGGGCTGGTGATAACCCAGGCCCAAGAGAGCGGCCAGAGGGGTGTGTATGTGTGTGTGCCTTTGTATGTGGGTGTATGCATTTGTATGTGTGAGTTATGTGTGTGCACGTATGCGTGCATGTGTTTGTGCTTGCGCCTGAGTATATGTGTCCATATGTATGTATGTGAGTATATTGTGTGCATCTGTGTATGTGAGCATGCATGCTTGTATGTGTATAGATTTGTGTATGTCTGTGTCAGTGTGAGTATATGAGCATGTGCTACGTGTGAGCATACCTGTGTATATGTGTATGTATACACGTGTGTGAGCGTGTGTGTGTGTGTGTGTGTGTGTGTGCCAAGATGCCAAGATCCAGACATGGTTGCGTTACCACAGCCCATGAAGCAGACTTAATGTCACAGCCAGTCACTGACTCATGGGCCAGCCATGCCTTCCAGGATGAGACCAAGGCCAGCAGAACAGGCAGTGCGCTGAGTCAGCTTGGGGAGCACTCCTCACCAGCCACCTCTCCACAGGAGGCATGTGACTAATGGGCACCTGACCTGGCAGGGCCTGCCGGGGCCCAGCGGAGCCTCCAAAGGCCCCAGAAGCTGGCAGGGCCTCGGGATGCTGGGGGGGGCGGGGGATGGAGCAGGCTGCTCTAGGAGGGAGGGGCGAGGTGGTCAGAGCTGCTGGCAGCGGTTCTCAA